TTTTTCTTATATATGATAGTTTATAAATTAAATTTTTGATTTTTCTTTTAAAATCATTAAATTTATTTACCATCTGATGATTCCTTTTGCAAGGATGAATTCTATAGATTATGGTAGCTAGTCACACACCCACACCCTCAAGATTGTTTAAATAAAAGACTTAACATCATTTGAAAGTAACAAAGTTTTCTAGGTCAATATTTCGGCAACCTGTCTTAATTGCCGTTTGTTTCTGGCGTGCGAATACTTTATTAAGCTTTTCTTGTGCTGCAGCTTCATTTTTTGTAAATATTAGACATGATTGATTGAATCCAAGAGCACGCGCTTCATGAACGAACCGAGCACCAGCGTTGTTGGATTCATTCTCATTAGTTCGCTTCATATCTGTCACAAAACGAAATGTTTCACTTAGTTTCAACCGTTTCCCAAATGGTGACCGAAGAAAGGCAAGAGCCAATTCAGTACTCGACTTTGGTATAAAATGAACGTTCACGTGAGTACCTTGTGTGCTTGCTTTTTCCATATGTTCTTTATTTTCCCAGTTCGGATTAAAAATATTATCATCTACCCACATGACAACGTTTTTGCACAATCCTAGTTCGATCTACTTAAAAGAAGAGGATATTTCTGAGTACTATCCTAAAAAGAGAACTTACTTGTCTTAAAAAAATACGATTTTTCTTAAGATTTTCGTCAAAATCAAGGTGACACACTAAAAATGATGAATGTGGCAGAAAGAGAACTTCATCTTCTGTCTTATCACAATTTGAAAAATATCTTATGCTTCGACCAGTCAATGAAAAGATGGTCATAATTGTATTACGTTTGGTAAACCAAGTTGAACCTTTCTCTCTTTTGTCAGCGCTACTAAATTGCAACCATGTAACAATTTCACCAGGCTTATAATCTGCGAGATCTTCTTCCGTGAGTTCTATACATCGATGCACTATTCCCCAGTAGTAATCGATATGTGATAAGCCTTTAATTAGATAATACATAATCAGTGCTGCATTAGTATCAACACCAGCTATGTCCTTTGATGCCATTAAGACACCATGTTTACTTTGCCGAGCGACGATATTTGCTGCCATACTCATCGGTGCAGCGTATTTACCAGTATAAAATGCGATAGCCAATGCAAATGCTTGTGCTTCATCGCGTCCAACTCCTCTTTGCGTGAAATATTGAAATGTTTCTTTACTCTTTGTAACGTGCATGTCTACATCTTTTGGTTTTTGGTCATATTTTGCAATAGCATTTTTCAGATTATTCAACGACATGTCAACACCATTATTTAACAATTTTTCAAGTGTTGGGCCGAAATCATCTTCTATTATTGCATATTCATGCCGCTTTTCCCAGAGCTCAACAGCATCTTTATGAAGTTTTGCGTTTTCAATATATAGTTCCACGATTTCAGAATCAAATTGCCTTGAGTTGGGCAAGTTTTGGTAATCGGGTATTCTACCAATTGGTTGTAAGTACATCCTTTGCGGTACTTTCTTACTTTTATCTCCAAAAGTAACTTGAGCTTCTTGAACTTTCTTGAACACGTCCATATGACTGTGGCGTTCCAATAAACGATTTGCCTCTGATTCCTCCATCAAATACTCTTTTTCAGCGTCATCATTCTCGCCGTAAGAAGCCATCGTTGTAGTTGTTCTATGAACAAAGTAAATACATGTCAGAAGTTAACAGCCGATGTACTTCACTTCACGATAGAATCTTTCTAGTCGATCCGTTTTCATTTCATTGAACTTTTATCCACAGCTATTAACTATCACATTCTACTAAAAATCCTAAGTTGCTTTGAACTGTCGATAAACCATGATTGTTTTAAGAATTCGGCTTTACAGTATAATCATACTATCAAAAAATTATTATTGCAATCAAAATCTGTTTTAACACTAGTGAAATTCTTGAAAGTATTAGTGAGAATCTGTCATACATATGAAGAATCATAACTTTTTAGTTATAACTTAACTTGAGTACACACAGGTGTGAAACTTGCTAGTTCAATTAAATTACTGAAATTCAACTTCAATTATTCTTTGATGTGAGTGCAACAAGAGGAATTAATTGTTTGAATAACTGAATAGTTGAACTTTGACCATGGTTACAAAATATTAAATAGTTGAGATACTTGATATGATTGAGGTTTAACTTTTAAATAATTTAACAGTTGAACGTCCCCATCTCAAAAGTCAATTGTCGCCAAAGAACGTTCAAATCAATCGACATTAGGAGGATATGTTAATGCTACAGTGGAGAGTCTATGATAAAATTTTCAGCCTCAAATTTTTATGTTTAGGGGAGATATGGACCGAACAAGGACTAAAAATAGCTCATTTGGCATCCAAAATTTCTGTTCTAGTACGTTCAACATCATAAATTTTATATTTGTTTGAAAGAGCACACCAAAGCGCAAAGCATGATATGACACTTTCTTTCTGATTTTCATGCTTAAAAAAGTTATCACAAGTCAAAGATGATGAAAAAAACAGCACCAAAATTTTATAGGAGGCAGTTTATGGTCCTGATCAGGAGCTTTTTAAAAGAAACGTGATGTCATGCCCTACGCCTTGATGCGCTCTTTCAAACAAAAATAAATTATAGTGCCGAACTTATCAGAGTAGAAAACGTTTTGATGCGCTTTTCAAAAAGTAACAATTGAAAGAAAACGAAAAACATTTCTTCGAAATGACTTTTTGCTTTTTTAGCAGTTTTCATTGTTGTTTTGAAGAAAATGACTAAGAGAAGCCTACATAACTTCTATTTTTGTACACATTCGAAGCTTTATTGATTGTTGAACAGCTACTGAAGCAATACTTCGTTAAGGATGATGGACTCACCCAATACTTCTTCTGAAACATATTAGTTGCATTTTCCATAGGTCCATCCATTACAAAAATGACAAAAATATCTTTCAAAAGAGAGGTTTCCGGGAAGACCACATAGTGTTTCTGAAAGAGTGAGAGACAAGCTATCATCTTATCATCAAATCTCAATTTTCGTTTTCCTGACGAAAACTGGCTCTTTTTTTTAAGGGCGGGGGTCGCTGAATGGTTCAATAATTTTTTAGTTTCATAATTGAATAGTTTAGTATTTAAAATAGTTGAAGTAATTGAGACACGTTTTAATAATTGAACACATGATAGCCCTTGCTTGTTTGACTGTCCAGAAGAGTATACATCTATTCCATGGTTTCTTCACTCCTTCTGATAGATGCCATACAGGTGACATTTTCTCGTTTCTCAAATCAGCACTCTTTAAATCTTTTCCTTCTGGAAAAAATATTTCTTTTTCAAATGAAAAAATGAATACCCTCAAGACTTCTGCTAATGTAATTTAAAAACAACAACGAATGTCTTCAGATAGAAAAAGAGAAAAAAACATTTTTTGTTGATCTTTTCCTACAGTGACTGGATGGCCAGTACAATACTTGATACTTTTGTACTCTTCTGTATGAAAATTTCAAGTATAAAGTAATTTTTTTACAGTCAGAGTACAATTACATTGAATGCACTTCGAAACTTTTAATACAAAAAAGTACAAATACACTTTAGCTTTTTCATTGTGAATAGATATTCATTCTAAAATTAACTTTGTTATGATTATAATTAGCATCACAGTCACAGAAAATTTCATTTTTATTCTATATATTTATTCATTATTTAGTTTACAATAAACTTTGATTTACTTTCAAGAATACTAAATCTTTGAATAACCGCTCGCTCATATTAGTTCGTCGCGATGAAAGAATTAGACCCGCATGTGAAAATACTCTTTCTACTGGTGCAGATGAAGCTTGAACGGAGAAAATACGCTTCACTAGTTTCTTTAAAGAAGTCAATCGAGAAGTTGACCAGTAATCTGAAAATCTTGTTCTTATCGGATCATTTACATAGCTGTCTATTTCAGTAACCGGATCAGATACCATTGTGTCGTTGGACTTCTCGTCATATTCATTGTATACAAATAACTTCTTGTTCCGTTTCGATGTCGTTAATGGAACCGATACTGCTTCTGATGAAGCTTTCGGTAATGTTGAGGATGAATCTTGACTGATTTCATCAACAATTAGTTGAATTATGTTTTGTTTTAATCGATTTTCATTATTGATAGGCAAATTAAGATCACGAAGCCAATAGAATTTAAATGATGGATCCAATATCGTAGCCATAAAATAAAGAGGATCATTGAAGGGCTCATTTTTTTCTACATTTATTAGATTCAATCGATGTATAATTCCAGAGAAACGTTTGTCAATCGATGTATGAAGTTGTTCAACAAGTTTAGTACAAAACGAAAGTTTTTTTCTTATTTCCAATAAATGAGTGATACAGTGTACAAGAGCAGGCACAACTATACTAACAGTAACAATGGTATCCGATTGACATTTGATCGAAATATCATAGAAGGGTTCTAAGATATCGACAACTTCTTCTAGAACCGTAAAATCATTATTTAGAAAAGTAACTGAATTGTCCATTAACTTTACAATCGAGTCGAGATCACTTTTCCCAATGGATAGAATCGATTTCATCAACATATATTCACTATTCCATCGTGTTATATTCATTTTACTGATATGCTTATTTATTTCTTCCAATACATCAGCAATTTTCGATGATTGATTAGAACACTTCCCTAATATTTGGCACTTTTCAAGTACTTTGGAAATATAAGGTACGTTCTTCAGTCCGTCACGTATACATAGTTGTAGAGTATGCGCGAAACAAGATAATCGTACCGATGGTGAATCTTCATTTTCGTCAAAGGCACTACTACTCATATTCACCATTTGTAGATTGTCCGGTTCAAAATGTTCTATAACAGAACAAAAGAAAAACGAAAAAATATGATGTCTAGAAAAATTCCAAGTCATTGTGCTTAAAAAGTAAAGATTCATGACTGACAGATTGAAGCATATGCTGATCAATGCTCCATATTTTCTTACAGAAGACTTGCTTACCTTCAAAATCTTCAATCATCAAATCATTCTCTATGATCAATTGATTTTTCTCGTCAACTTCAATATTTTCAGTATCAACTGACAAGCCAAATTTGTACGCCTTAACCATCGATGATGCGTTGTCAGTAACTATTCTAAATACTTTCTTCTTAATATTAAATCGTTCAAGTACTTCATCGGTCATTTGTTGAATATTTTCACTGGTATGAGGAGATTTAAATCGAAAAAAATCAATTAAATATGCTTGTGTACTCATTTTCTGATCTATAAAATGACAAGTAATACCAATGAAAGATCGGCAGCGTCGATCCGACCAAACATCCACAGTTAATGTGACATGATCAGCAGTGATCAATTTTTCATGGATACGTGTTAGGACTGTACTCGTTAATGAAGGAATAACATCATGTTTCAATCTTTTCGTCGAAACAGGTCGATATTTTAAGTTACATTCTTTCATGAAATCACGAAAAGCAGGTTTCTCAACCAAATTTAATGGTAAATTACATCGAATGATCAAATTTTTTGTAATAGATAGAATAATTCGATTCTCTTTCTCTTTTATATTTGTTAAATCAATGGGTTCATGACCATCTTCAATTCCATCTCTATCTTCAGTGAAATATTCATGTTCGCTTTTGAACACTTGATTATATTCAAATGGATGTTGTCGTTTTAAATGCTTTAAAAAATTGCTGAATACCCCACTTTTATCTTTATAATTACGATGACACAATTTACAGAGTCCATTCGTTCGACTTTTCTCAATAGCACAGAAATCAAAATATTGTTTCCAGTTTTTTCCTGCCATTTGGTCGTTTTAGAGAACTGAATCAGAATTACTATACGTTGAACTAATGATATTTATCATGAATTGTAGTTGAAGAATCCTTTTCTTGTAAACACATATTCACGAATTCATTATGGCCCATCCAATCTAAAACAATTTTCTAATGAATACAATGCTATCTTTATATGATATTTACTCAATATTGAAAAGTTAGTATGAAGTACTTAATCTTTATTTACTCGAGTACACAATCTAGAAGTAAAAGTACAAAGTAACTTTATGAAGTAAAAGTACTTGTTCTTGTACTTCATGTACTTTTACTCTTCCTATCACTGTTCTCTTGAATTCAATCTTGTATGAATTGATGTGTTTTTGTTAAATAATGTTGGAAAAAAAACTCTGCTCTCATGACTCGTACAACACTTTCTGATGGCACTATACTCTAAAATTAGATTTCGTTAATACTATCCAATACTATTACACATAATTCGTATTGAGTGACTAATTATCAATATCGGTTAGTCATCCATTTCTTATCCCTTTCATCGACAACGACTATCTTTAGCTGATCGAGACAATTCACTTTATGAAATCTATCGATTGATCATTTTCTATCCAGATCATACTCAAAAGTTTAGTAAAAGCAAAAATTTCAGTCATCCTTCTAATCCTAAATTTTACAATAAACTAAAAAAGTATTTATCTAAAACGAAATAGAATAGTGACTAATCAAGACATTCGATCTCTTTTCGATATCTAATCCATGAAATTTTTTCGAATAAACGAAGAAAAAAAAAGTTTATCACACTAAAAGGCACGGCCTTGTTGCCTTGAAAAAATCATTGAAGTACGATTTCACTAAAAACTGAATGGATCTCATCGACTGAAAACATACTATTATCAACGTATTTCATAAGTCACTTTGTTATATTCACCAAAGATATTATATTCAAATTTCCTACATACCTGCTATTGAAATTGTCGAGAGTTTAATCTACAATGAGAATGTTATTGTGAGTGAAAGAGAATCGTTTAATTTAAAGGTAGACTTTTTCTCATATGAATAAATAAACTTGAAGTTTAAACAATCGCTCTCATTTCAGTAGATCTTTTTTTCATTTTTCCTTCTTTACTCAAAACTTCGCTTCAGTCGCCATTTAAGGTGCAACTCTAATTCATCATAACATAAACAAATTTAAGGGTGATAGAAGAGAAAAAATTCTATAAAAGGTTTTTTTTTCTTCTATTCATTCCAAATATATGTGAAAGTATTCTACGAATGTTTTAAATTGATCCCCTGAAAATCGTACCAAGGAGGAATGCGACCAATATTTCAAAATTGGATTAAACATTTCCAAAATGAATAAATGTACATAACTGAATATGTACGGCTTACGAACAGAGAACAGCAGTTGATATTTTTCCACTAAAATTTTCTTGTTTTAGGAAGAGTGACTCATCGAACTCACTTTCATGATTTTTATTTTAATACATGAAACGTTTCGCCCTTTCTGGACTCCTTGGCTATTTTTTAAATCAATCGTCGAATAACTTTCGGTAGTTGAGCCCTGAAGACTATAGAATAGAATTACAAAGTAATTTTTTTGTAAATAATTTTAGACATTCTACACAAAAAGACCTTTGCGCAAGATCGATACATGTCGTGTGATGCTTTGAATTCCAACTATATATTTATATTTAAGAAATGTGTGCTTTTACTTTTTCATTTATTAAAAGTGAGAGGAAATTTCCTATTCAATTTAATTCATTGAAATCATGCAGTATTTAAACGACCTGATGAGACCCTTTAGCAATATTGAAACTGGTCACGACAGCTTATTCAAATCTATCGCCAATCGAAACGCGTCGCGGTAGCTAGTATACACACACTCTCGTGATATTTCCAAAAATCAATCTAGTACGACTGCACCTATACTTGTTTTTGGGAAACTTAGTCTTATTACATTAAGGAAAAGGATTTCCGGTGTTTTCTAGGCAAAACAAATACTTTTTCCAATCATAACTATTCAAAAAATTCTTGATTATGATAGTTTTCTTTCTTATTTGGATTTTAATGTGAATTTTTCTTTGACGTCTTTAAACTAGAACAGTTATGGATATATTTATTAATCGATTGTAAAAATGCCTGTAGAGTCCGTCAAGCAAGGACGAAACTACTCAAGTGATGCTAGTATTCAAAAATTTCTTAACAATAAAAACTTTCTATTCTTGTAATAAACTTAAAGAATTATTACAATTTACTTAACTTCTTCAAAAATATTAAAGGGTTTTAATTTATGAATTAATATATTTTTTCCAATCAAAATACATATGTATTGCACTTCAAAATGATTCTCTTTTTAATCGAATCGAAGTGAATTCTGAAAAATTAATTTCAATCTATTCCGGTTATTCTGCTAATCCTTAAATTTTTATCTTATTCCACTCTTTGCATGTTCTCGAGATATTATTCTATGATAGTTATTTCAGGCGGAATTACAATTCCTTGCGATCAACACGAACTTTCATATCGCACCTATTTTCGCCCCTAGTTTATAAAACGATATTTTACATTACATTGAGCGTCATAGAGAAATTCTAGATTTCAGAAAACCCTTTCCAAAATTTTCAGGATGTTTGAAAGACACTATTCTATATCAGCTTTCAATGCTGAGTTACGATCCGTCGAGATCATCTCGATATCTCTTACGGTTCTTATTGGAAGGCCAGAATTATAAAGCATTTTTTATCGCTTTTTTGCAAAAATTAAGATTTCTGAAAACCCTTCAGAAACCCCTTCTATATTTCAAAAGTAGTTATGTTATATCAGCTTTCAACACTGAATCAGGGTCCGTCGAGATCACCTCGATATCTAGCACCGTTCTCTTTTGATAGCCTGAATTATAAAGTACTTCTTATCGATTTTTCTCAAAATTTAATATTTCCGAAAATCCTTGTGAAACCTCTTCTCTCTTTCGAAAGTAATCATTTAATATCAACTTTCAACCCTGAATCAGGATCCGTCGAGATCATTTCGATATCTACCACGGTTATCTTTTGAGAGCCAGAATTATAGCCGATTTTGTGTCGATTTTTTTCAAAGATTAAGTTTTCTGAAAACCCTTCTGAAACATCCCCTCCCTTTCGAAAGTAATTATTTTATATCAGCTTTCAATGCTGAATCAGAATTCGTCGAGTTTATTCCGATACCTGTTACCGTTCTTATTTTAATCAACATCAAAATTATTAATAAGAAGTATAGCTTAATTCGAGATATCAACATTTATTTAAATTTAAATAAAGAAGAAATAAGATTCACAGAAAATATAAAAGAATAATATCACTCATGTAAAAATGTTGAAATTGAAATAATTATATATTAAAGTGGAAAGTAGATTAGAATTTATTCACTGTTGAAAATGATCTAAAATAAAGTCAACAATCTTTGCTGAAATATACTTATGGAATGGTAATGATATTAGTTTAGAATTCTTTGAAAATATTACCGGAGTCGATTATAGTGTGGTCATTTAACGTTCAGTAAATTGAGAACAATAAAATGAACGTTAACTCATATTGTGTATAAAATTTAT